CAAAAATTCTCTCCCCAAAAGCAGCTACAAAGGACAAAACTCATTTGAACAAATAACAAAAACGTAGAATCAGCTATTCAAAAAGTAAAAACAAATGGAAGAAAATGTTTCAGAAATGAAGAATAAATTATAAGGTGTCCAAGGAAAAACAAATTTGAATGAAAATAAAAAAGAAATAGTGAAAACCAGGAAAACAACTGACAGAATGAAAACAACGTAGTAAAAAAGTAAGAGAGAAGGCCACTGAAAAAGAAAAAGGCTTTTCTTTTTGTAAAAAGGCCTGAGAAAAAAGTTTCATATGTGTAATTATATAGAATATGTATATGTAAATAACTGGAGTCCCTGAAGGAACAAAAGGAACATAACTAATATTTAATACCATAATTCATGAAAATTATTTCTGGAAATGAGAAAACCCAGCCAAATTAGTCAGAAATAACCAGCTTTGAAAATTAGCCTAATTTTTTTTTAAAAAGGGCAATAAAAATGGCAATGCCTTTAAGTAAAGTAACAAATTCTCTATAAGGATAAGAAAATAAGGCTGATACCAGAGATATCAGCAGAATATTTTTAAGAAAGTCAATAAAGAAACCCTACGCCAAGGATTTCATGTCTAGTCAACCTGTCATTCAAGTGACAAGACCATAGAAAAGCAGCTTGCAATGGGCAAGATCTCAGGGAATACTGTACCCAGGAGTCCTTCCTGAGGAATATATTAGTGGGTGAGTTTTAAGCAAACAGGAAATAAGTGGGTAAATATCACCAAACAAACTGGTGTGAATATTTAGTAAGATTAATTTTAGAATTTACTCTAAAACACGGCGACATAGCGTGGGTGCAAAAACAGTATGTACATGCATATTCTAACAAAGCAACAAGAACACAGAAAAAAAGAAAAGTGAGGAAAAGGAATAAGGGAAAGTGCAATAGGAGCACTGGCGTAAAGGTAACAAATGAGAGTCAAGGATGCTATTTAAAAGGTCAAGTAGAAATGAGGGGGATTAAAAGTACTATAAAACAAATACAAATGTAACCACCAGGGGAAAAAAACAATCCTTCAAAAATTTAATAATAGTAACTTCAGTCACAATTCTCCCTAATATTTTATACATCTCACATAAGCCATCGGCCTTTGTTCAGAACTACTTTTCAAAGATGTTCTGTACAGCATACAGTCTTGAAAGACAGAAATAGAACCTGCCCACGGAGCAGAAGGCAGTTTTATCACAAAGGAGGATAACAAACGTCAATGGTCTTACTTTTGGGCAAAGTTTGGGCAGATGTTCTATAAGGTTCTTAAAGAACTCTCAGACTTGGAGTTGTTCAGCTATGACAACCCTACTGGGTACGCAGCATCACCCCATGGGACTTAGGAGTCAAGGGGAACCTATACAACCATGACACATGTGCTACCTTTTATACTATTAATAATAAAGCACTTGGTCGCTGGCCCAAGAGTCTTGTGTCTTCTGCCAATGTCTATGAAAGTGTGGCAGGCATGCAAATAGACTTAATCTCATACTCATAATAAAGAAGACACAGCCAAATACAGAAACAAATGATAAATATGGTATACACAGTAATTATGCAAGTCCCAGGATATAATGTTAAAAGTTAGCTGCCTGCAAGGAGTAGAGGAACTGGAAAGAAAGGGAATGCTACCTCTCAGAGCACCAATGTATATAATACTTGGACTTTTAGAAGCATGTTAAAGTACAGATATTCAAATGTATAAATAAATCAACGAGAATAGAAACAAAATCACCTAAAACTCAATGCAAACAGAAACCAATAAATGCAACTATATTTCATATGAATAACCTAACTGCACCCTATGAAAGAAAGAACTCAACTGAATCTTGAACTTTTTTTATTACATTTATTTTTTAGAGGTAAGGTTGTACCAATTTTGAAACTACGTGTTTTATGTGAATTACATGACTAAGCAAATGGGTAAATGTTGTTAAGAGTTAGGGTTCTCACTTTGAATGAAGAGAACTACAGGTATGAAATGGGGGGGTGGCAAGGACAGATTTTGTGGTTTGGATTGAAATGAAAAGCATTGTTAAAACTCATAATTTCTTAAAAATACCTACCTACCCACCTATTTATCTAATCTAACACTGAAAGGTCCTAGGAGTAATAAAATCCCAGAGACAAAGAGCACATGACATGTCAGGTCTTGACCTGCAAATATTATTTTCCTCTAAATGAAATAGTAATTTGAAGAAATGCCTGACTCCAGGACTGGGACAGGGGAGGTTTAGAGCCTGGATTATATTGCTGTGCCAGAGTTTTAGGGAGCGCTTAAAAAAAAAGATGGGGTATGTCTGAAGGACCCAGCAGCTATCCTGAAAGCATACTCCCCAGACAAATCGGGGACAACTTCAGCACCAAAATAATACAGAAAAACAATTAATGATAACTTATTTAGCAAAATAAAAAGCCACTAGTCCTTGCTCACAATACAAATCAAACAAGAAAGAAGGGTGGGCTCTTCCTTAGTAGAATGCTGCCTGCTAAGAAGGGGGGAGCGGAAGAGGCGGAAAATCTCCAGTTTGCAATTCAGGCACAAATCATCAGTGATAATGCAGCACCAAACTTCACTAGCTCTGCCTAGAGCTTCAAGCAGACATAGGCTTTATGGGTAGGAGACAAGTTTTTGGAAACAAAAAATAAAATGGTACTGGGCAGTGTATTATAAGTCTATTAAGCTAAGGACAACATGCAAAACAGTTCCCAAGGAAAGCTGGCAACATAGAAATAAAGGAATGACAGAACAAAATAAATGTGAAAAAGAAAAGGCTACATAAAGAAGAAATTATTTCAGTGTGTGGAATGCTCATCTCATTTGAGGTTTATATGACATATTTTATAAAATCAACCTACTAGAAGTTATACTTCTAATTGTATTTGGCAATACAGCCAATTCAAAGAAGGGCCATCAGTGCAGATGGCAAGGGCGGTAAGTATCTGCTCAGTCAGAAAGTGGTGAGTCAGTCACAAGCCTAAGGAGCCCACGACTGCTAGGCAGGTTTCACAAATGCTCAACTGATAAATGCTCGAGTTCACTCCCTTCTTAGGTTGTTGTGACGAATATCAATGACTTTTCTGAATATTACTATAGTACACAAAGCAACTTATATGTATGTATATATGTGTGTGGTATTATGTGATGTAATCATGTGACCATATTATTGTTAACAGTTCAGAGTTGAGTCGATTTTACAATGTTAAGTTACAGTCTTCTGTACAACTTAGATAAAATGTATTAAAATCATCTACTTCCCACTATCTGTTATATAGACTCTGTCACCCCTAAAATGAATACATTTGAAATATATCTGATGTATATGACATACACAAAAATGAAATACAACTGAGGTTCAAGAATAGGAAAGAATAATTAACAATTACTCTTGACTTTAATAAATGGCTAAGCTTCACCAACAGTTTTTTAAAATATTTTCAGTTGAAGAACTCTTTCTTCAGGTCAAATCTTATTTTACAAGTTTAAAAACTGACACAGTAACTAAAAGTGAACTACTCTCTTAAAGTAGGCGGAGGCCGTCTGGAGTGCCACCTGCTCTGGGGAGCCTCCCTGGCAGCCCGAGGCTCACTTAGAAAACCAGTGCTGCGTAAGATCACAAGTGGAGTATAAATGCACAGAACAGTCACTGAACATGAGATCATACTAGTAAGTATAAGAGTATGAAATTTTAAAAATATAACTCATTATTATTTACTGAAAAATAGGAACCAAGTAAGTATAAAGTCTTTTTAATAAATAATTTATAAGAGAACTATAAAAGGCAGCTCATTTTGACTCTATGGTAGGTGTTCCTTGTTATAAAACCACAACTGATACTGAAATTTGCTGTCTTAAGCTTTTTTATACCTCTGTCATGTCCTATATACATGTGCCACTAGGAAGTGATTAACGGGGATTCAGGGTACAATTTTTAATAACGAGAATAACAATGTTGTTTCTAACTAGACTATTATATCTTGCTTTTTAATAACTGTCTTTAATTTTTAGGATCATTTTTTAAAGTTTCCTCAGTTTCCTTTAGCTAGAAAAAAGAAAAAACCAAAAATCCCTTAGAACCTTACTATCATAATAAGTCAAAATGAGGCTGCCTCTTGCTACTACTGTGCTTTTGTGGGAGAAGAACAAAAGCACATTAATAGTTAACAAAGCTACAATATGATATACGAATGAGGTCTTGCATTAAAAAAGTACTTAGAGTGTATTTACAAAAGAATCTCTCTTATTAATTATTCAACATTTGGATTTGACCAGAAACCAGAGCATGACTTTATAATGCTCTGTTTAAATGAACTACTTAATGTTGTAATGAACACTCAGTGTGGTAAGTTCAATAAATTTTGGACCTGTTATAACAGAACAGTTTTTTGTAATATTTTGATCAATGGACAGATTTTAATGTTAAGTCAGTTTGAATTTCACTTATGCTTTAAAAATGTTTACTTAAACCAAAAATTTTGCATCTCAATTATTTTGTATTCTAAACTGAATGTAGTTTCAATCAATGAATTATTCATGAAGCAAAGACATTAGGAAAAACAAAGCTGTGCATTTCTTTCAAAGCCATTAAATTGCTAAAACATACCATATTTATGCATGCAATATTTGTGTTTTTCTTAAAACACAAGCTTGTTTTTTGTCAGATCAAGATACGCCAAAAACTGTACACCAAACATTTTTTATAATTAAAGCAATCATCAATCCAAGGATTGTCATCCATTTTATTTCATCTCTACATCAAAAAAAAAAAAGTAATTTAAAAAAATTTAAATTCCCTTGAAATGATAGGATAAATGAAAATGTAAGTGCCATCACATAATAACAGTAAGCTGACCCTTTGGGAAATGGTTGACTTTCTCAATACAAGGTATTCAAAGCTCATTCAAAAGTGTTCATTTAGAATGCAGATATCAAAGATGATGCAAATGTTCAAGAGAAAATTAGAACTTACCAGATGTTCTAATCCAGCTTTGATGTTTCCAGATTCCCTAAAATAGAAGAATAAAAGTTTTATATAGTTGCTAAACCTTTGTCTACTCTAATCTTTTTACCTCAAAACGGTTTTATAAACCCTTAGAATTTTTTCATGTATCTTTACTAATGTTCAAATAACACTCTTTTTAAGGAGAAAACAATTTCCACCAAAAAGGAACAGTTAATTTATTTATATTGTCTAGTATTACTATTAAACTGGTATTCCAGTAACAAAGAATGTTTCAGACTTTTCAAAGTCAGTACACAACAAATCAAGTCAAGTACACTATTACTTTACTATTACTGTATCAGTTTACTTCACAATTAGCTTTTTCATTAGTTTGTTTTTTCCAACATTATCATGAAAATGTTCAAACATACAGATTCTATCCGCCATCTAGATTCTACAATTGACCTTTTACTATATTTGCTTTATCAAATATCCATTCATCAGTGGTTGTATTTTTATAAAAGGAATATGCACATAAATAATATATTCTAATTTCATAGCTAAACTAAATTTTAATAAATTTTTCTTGAAATTAATTTTATTAATTTAGTGCACACTACAAATCAGGACTTAAGACTTCCAATACTAAAAAAACAATTGTCAAGGAAAGCAAAAACATCAAATATATCAATAATTTTAAGCATTTAATTTCTGTTCTTCATTTTAAACAAAACACTGTGGATGGAATTAAAAATATAAATACATGTGCAAGTAGCAAATATAATTTAAATATACATTTGGTGAAATATGGCAAATAATTGCAGTTTTTTTATACTGATTTTATTCTATACGAATTTATTAGTGATAGATGACCTTTGATTTTTTTTCACTTTAATCGAGCAGTTATTTTTAATTCCATCATGAATACCAAGACTGATTTTTTTTAACATGAAATTACACTTCGACCATATTGCAGGAAAAAAATGGAACAGTAAACACCCCAAAACAGTATTGCATTCATGATGTTTTAAAATTTTCCTCACACCTCTTTCTTTCACTGAAGGGCCTTTTATTTCTTTTCTCTTTATTTCTGTCTCCAAGTTTCTTTGCTAAAAATATACTTCTATGTTTCATTTGTCTTGCTATACAATCTTTACAAATCTCCCTATCTTCTTTTCCCTTCAAATCCACTGCCCGAAAACTAAACTCATGGCTTCCAACTTTCTCTCTCACTGCCCAGTGGGACATACTGGGAACAAATTCCAAAGTCCACTGACTAAGCAAAGTTCTAATTTTTAGCCATTCTCCTCTCTTTCTGTGTCTGGCAATCTTAGCAATACTATGTGTACTCGACGTTTAAAAGTGTTTCTGAAACTCATTCTCTGGATGCAGTCTCAATGACAAATGATAGGAATAAATTACAACAAGGTGTCAGGAAAATCTAATCGCTACATAAATAATTATTTTGAACTTTACTATTACAAAGTTAGTGGATTTACTGAATCTGGAAGGCAAATGGATCTTTATGTCTTTACAAGGACATTCTTATATGATTATTTGTGTAATTTGAAATCTAAACAAAAAGAACAACGTATATAGTGAAGCATCTGACGATGCATATATATATGTGCACTGCAATAAAATTAATTCTTCCTGCTATCACTGACTCCCAGTTCTCAATCACTAATATTAGATCTTTGTCCTTCTAAAGATATTCTACTTCTGTGTGCAGATGTGTGTACGTGCGTGTGTGTGAGTATATTTCTGTCTCCTGTTTTTTAAAACCCAAACAGGAGTAAGTATACTATACACATTGTTTTGTAACTTCACTTGATGATCTATCTTAGAGTTTGCTCTATTACACTGTCACATAATGATTCTTATTAAAAATTAATACGGCAGCATAAAAAAACAAAAAATGTTCAGATTCAAAGTGCAAGTCCATAATTAATTATGTGAAGCCATGGGGCTAGCCATGTTTCATCAGGATATTTTGGTATAATATGTCATGTAACACTGACAGTGTGGCTTGAAGCAGCATCCCATCACACACATTAATAATTCTAAAAGAAACATATGAACGTCCCCACAAAGTGGGACAAAGTCTCTAAGTGATTTCATTTTAGGGTTGGTTTTGCTGTCAACTGAGCTTGTCGCAATGTTAGGGAAAATCTCTTAATTCTTTGAGCTGTTTGCATTTTGGAATCAAGGATAAGAAACTATTCCTAAAGAGGGGGAAGGGAAGAGGAAGGGGAAAGGAGGGATTGACTAGGCTATTACATTGCTATGATTCTTTAAAATAAGTGACACTTAGGAAATGCACTTTTAGAATGGTATGCCTAAAAGAAAACTAGGCATCATCCTTGACACAACTCTCTCCCTCACTGTGTGAACAAAGACATTCAACCACAAGGTCTTGACTATCTAACGTCTTTAGTTGTCATTTATATTTAACCACTCTTATCTTCACAAGCACTAGCTGTTTTAGTCCTTTTCTTTTCTCTCCCACCTAGTAATCTAGTAATTTTCCAGATTACTAGAAGAGATTGCTGGCCTCACCTGTTTTCTCCCATATTACTACAGAGCCTCCTAATGCTTAAAAGTCACTCCTGTCTTGCACCACCTCAATTCATTCTGTACAATACAGAAAAATTGTTCTAAAATAAAAGTTTGATCATATCAATTCCCTTCTTAAAGTCAGTGACAGCCTTTCTACTATTCTCCTGTTTACTTATTTCCTCTGCTATCTTTCCAGAGCTTTATCACATGGGAAGTGATAGCAACAGCAACAAAAAATTACTAACCTGGTTCCTCCCACTACCGAACCAATTAATCTTTCCATCAGAAATGCCCCTTTTCTCCCAGTCTCTAATTCTACTGATCTAGTTTTAAACAACAAAAAATCCTCCAGGACTTAACTTAGACCATACCTCCACTGGGGAAATCTTCTCTCTTACTCAGTAATGAAGTAGTGAGCTCTTCCACTGGGTTCCCATCCACAGACTTTATCACACTTTTATTATAAATACCTGTTTACTTCCCCACTGACACCACCAAAATGATAGCTATCCAAGAACACAGATTACATCTTTTGAATTTTTATATCCTGGCACCTTACAAGGTGCCTATCAAAGTATGAACTCACCTAAGAAGGGTCCGACATCTAATTGTCATAGAACAGGCTTTGAAAGTTGGTGGCAACCAGCTCAGGTCTCTGAGTGGCCCTGCACAGCCCCGCTCTACCTCCACACCACACAAAAAGCAAGGCAGATGCAACAGTGAGTGGTTGTTTGGGAAAGAAGTATTAGGAGTATTGTGTACGTGTGTGATGGGCAGTTATTTTACTTTGCCTTTTTTTGTGTGTATTTTTTAAATTTTATTCAATTTATGGAGGTGATATTGGTTAGTATAATTATATAGGTTTCAGGTGTACAGTGCTATAATACACATCATCTGTGTATTGCACTGTGTGTTTTACTACCCCAAGCCAAGTCTCCTGCCATCTCCATCTATCCCTTCTTTAAACCTTCTTCTACCTCCCCTGACCCCTCTCTTTCCTGCTGGTACTCACCATACAGTTGCCAGTGTCTACAGTTGTTTCTTTTCCTTTCCTTTTTTTTCTTAATTCCTTCATCTTTTTCACCCAGCTACCCTACTCTACCCATTCCCCTCTGAAAGCTGTTGGTCTGTTCTCTGTATCTATGAGTCTGTTTCTATTTTGCTTGTTAGTTCCATTTGTTTATTATATTCCAAATGCAAGTGAAATCATACAATATTTGTCTTTCTCTAAGTGGCTTATTTCACTTGGCATAATAGTCTCCAGGTCCATCCATACTGTTGTAAGAGGTAAGATTTCCTTCTTTTTATGGCCAAGTAGTATTCCATTGCATAAATGTTCCATTGCTTTTGTATCTACTCACCTACTAATGGGCAACTGGGCTGCTATCAAATCTTGGCTATTGTAATGCATGCAGGGGTGCACATATCCTTTTGAATAACTATTTCTGGTTTCTTTGAATATATTCCCAGAAGGAGAATCAGTGGATCATAAAGCAGTTCCATTTTTATTTTTTTGAGGTAACTCTGTACCGCTTTCCAGAAGACTGTACCAGTCTGCACTCTCACTAACAGTGCATGATGGTTCTCTTTTCTCCACACCCTCGCCAGCACCTGGCTGATTTACTGATGACAGCCATTCTGACAAGTATGAGGTAATAACTCATTGTGGTTTCAATATGCCTTTCTCTGATGATTAGTGATGTTGAACATCTTTTTATATGTCTGTTAGACGTCTGTACGTTCTCTTCAAAGAACTGTCTACTCAGGTCCTTTGCCCAGTTTGTAATTAGGTTTTATTCCTGGTGTTCAGCTTTGTAAGTTCTTTATAAATTTTGGATATTAACCCCTTATCAGATGTATCATGGATAAATATGTTCTCTCATACAGTGGAGTGTCTTTTCAATTTGTTGATGGTTTCCTTTGCTGTGCAAAACCTTTTTATTTTGATGATGTCTCATTTGTTTCTTTTTCTTTTGTTTCCCTTGCCTAAGAAAATATATCAGAAAAAAAAAAAAAAAAGGAAAACACTGCTAAGAGAAATGTCTGAGATTTTACTGCCTATATTTTCTTATAGGATTTTCATGGTTAACAATCTAACATTTAAGTCTTTAATTCTTGCATATGGTGTGAACTGGTGGTCTACTTTCACTACTGAACAGACTATCTTTACCTCATTGTATGTTCTTGCCTCCTTTGTCAAATGTTAACTGACCATAAAGGTGTGGGTTATTCCAGTGTTCTCCCTTCTGTTTCACTGATCTACATGTCTGTTTTTATGCCAATACCATGTTGTGTTTGATTGCCAGGGCCTTATAGTATAGTTTGATTTCAGGTGGTGTCATTCCTCCAGCTTTGTTCTCCTTTCTCAAGACTGCTGTGGCTATTTAAAGCCTTTTGTGGTTCAATATAAATTTGTGGAATATCTGTTCTAGTTCATTGAAATATGTCATTGGTATCTTCATAGGAACTGTGCTGAATCTCTACATGGCTTTAGGTAGTATGAAT